TAATCTAAAAGCTATTCTATGTCCCACCGCCGCATCACCCACGTACCATAGGGAAATGTGTTCATTTTTTTTGCAAACCAATCAATCTTTGCCCTACACAGTTTTTTTATTGTATTTTTCCTACGCTGCGTGCGTCATTAAGTACTATTTATGACGTCATTGTTATTATTATAATTTTTAAGGGGGTTCTATTGTAAGATAAAAGCTAAGTATTACTCTAGAATAATGATTGACACGAATTGTTAGTGAGCAGTCAGGCTTTTCTTGAATAAAAAAAAAAATACAGTCAACACCGCGGCGACCGCGTCCGTGACATACGTACGTGGCCGTTAAGAAATTTCAACTTTGTATAAAAAACTTCATTTTCAGACAACTAAAAAGTCCATAGATTGTTGTGAGAGCAAATATATATATATATATATATATATATACACTTTTTTATTATATATATATATATATATATTTGCTATATATATATATATATATATTTGCTATTATATATATATATATATATCTGGTAACACATTGGCCTATTATATTTTATGCGTTTGATTTTGGTACAAATACGACAAGATACTAACCAGTTCGGCAGGGATACTCACCCTCTCGCACTTTTCCTACAGTACATCGTACAATACAAGGTCAAAAACTTTAGACAGATCCAGGAAACAAGCGCACGCGGAGGGCGTTATAAGATTATTTATGCGAATGTACGTACATAGCGCGCGGTTGGCGCGCACACATACAAGGCACGCAGTTACTTTGTTCTTATTCTACTATGCCTGTATGCGAGTGCGATGGACACACATATAGAAAACCACAAATTACACCCCAAACTCACGAGAGAAATAAATGTAGGCTTACAAATATTTTTCCAGCTAGGGAATCGAAAGCGGGATCTCAGCGTGGCAGTCCAGCATGGTAACCATTCGGCCACGGAAGCTGTTAGTTATGCAACGCGAGTGCATTGCTACATTACGCGAATGTGTTCGAACGTACACGGCGCGTGACGGGCGCGCACACATACAAGGCGCGCTGCTACGCTATGTGGAGTTACCATACCTGTCTTATTATACTATAACTGAAGTGTTCAACGTATATCGGTCATGTAATCACTTTTTATGCATTAACAATTTATTAACAAATTAAAAAACTTGTCCAACAACATCCCAGTCCATGGGGTAAGCGTTTTTGTGTCGTCTTGTTTTATTGTCTGAAGTCTCCAAAAAGTTTTTTTTTTTTTTTCTGATTTATCAATAAACAGCCTCATCATAAAATTTTTCATCAATGTTCATGACAGTAGGTGTAAAAATAAACGAGTAAAATGACCGTGACTCCATAGATAGACACTATGAAACCACAAATGTAAATATTGGACAATATCACATACGTGGCTTTGATCTCAAAGTAAGTATCTAAAGCATTTGTGTTATGGAATAACGACGGTATCAGAAACGATCAGACCCGAGACAATGTAGGAAAGTTTCTACAATAACCCGGTCAGGAATTGAACCCGGGACCTCAGAGAGGCCGACACCATGAAAACCGCTGCGCAATCACCTCGCCCATAGACGTCAACTACAAGTGTTCCTACTTGCAAAAAAGCACAAATTTTTATAAAAGCTCTTCACCAAATTTAATTTTTCCGAACTATCTCAAAACCAACTATGGGTGTTTTCTCAGAAATAATTCATCAAAAACTCGAAATGGAAGTTGCAAACGGTTACCACCACTAATAAGTGTTCTATTTTTGCAACTATTCTTTGAAAACTAAAGTGTACTTAATGTTAAAGTTTCAAAATTAGTTAGGTACACCGCGAATGAAACCAGCAAAAAAATCAACTTGTCTTACGTTCTGAAAATTGAATAAGGAAATTAAACTTGCTTTTATTTTTACGCGGATAGAAAAGTTGTAAGTGGTTTTCTGACAAAACAATTTGCGGTCTATAGAAAATATTAATAAGTACATAACATTTTCAACGTTACTTATACTATACTGCCTCCCTCATACAATAAGACTTTCTCCTTGAAAAGCCTGTGTTTAATCGTCTATTACATAGACGAAACTGAGGGTGTGTAATGTTTATTTACCTGGGCGAATTCACCCCAAAGTACAAATAAGTATAAAGCTCAAACTCAAACTCTTAAAATTGACCCTTTCATTATCTACTCACATCAGGCTCAACTATGTTCGAAATCAAGTACTTTCAAAACATTATTAGTCTAAATCTAAAAATTCCGAGTCAGGCCTTCAAAATTGTTAATAATAGAATACTATATACCGAATACTAACTAACTGCGCAACTTCCCTTCATAGGACCAAATTATGAACTGCAATTAAACCTAATAACATAATGGCGCCACTCTCAGAATACCCAACTTTGACAATAGTGAGGTGGTTACAGCAAAAGCATTATAATCAGTAGCTGGCGACGGGAAAGGTTTTAGGTATGCAAAAACTTTGGAAGTTCATCATCATCATCATATCAGTCGGAGGACGTCCACTGCTGAACATAGGTCTCCCCCAAACTTTGGAAGTTATTTGGGCTTAATTATATATTTTGCTGCTATATTTTTAGGTTATTCAAAAATGCACTAACGCTTCTTAGTAAGTATAGAAGTATATTTTTGTTATTTTTAAGTTTTTGTTGAATGTTACGGTGATTTACCACCATGATATTCAATTATTTTTTTGTGAAACTACTCCACTAGTTTGTTATAATATTATCAACACTAAGATCAAACACAAAGAAAAATTTCCTGCTGGATTCGAACCAGCATCTTCCAGCAAACCGTGTTAGATACAATGTCAACGTGGCTTACCACGGAACGAACCAGAACAACACACGAATTTTTCTATGTACTGGATGCAGACCTTTGTTTTTTTGTTTTAACGACTGTTTTGCCGTAGTGCAATCTATGAGAAATCCTTTGACAAAAAAAATATTTTGTTAGTTTTGATTTCGTAGAAACTGTTTATTACAGTAATAAGGTGAACTGTTTTAGTGACCGCTGAATTCTTCAGTGTCCTGTCTACTAAGTTGCAAAGGAACTATTTAAGAATTTCAATTTACATTATGTATCTAGGACATTCGTAGTTAAGTTAAAGCTTTGTAGACTTGCAAAATAGGAATAAACGGATTATCGCTTTTCAGTTCCAAATTAGAAACATTTGCACGAATAGAAGAACATGCGAGAATTCTGCTAGAAATCAACTTAGTTACACTTAGCAGCAGTAGAATTCCTTGTGAAAGAGTTCGTCGAGGGAAGTATTGCCACCTAACCTATTTCTGCCGCCATGCAGTAACGAAGTTCCGGTTTCGAAGGGCAAGAGTACTGGTGAAATTACAGGCACTTGGGGCATTTCAACTTATGTCTTAGAGGAATTGAACGCCTCATCGTCTTTGGGATTTAAAGTACTGAGTGGCACTGCAATCGTCATAGGCGTGTCTGTTTACCAACAGGCACACGACTTGTTCATCCCGTCGCATGATACGATAAAAAAAGGAAGAAATATATCAATTCGAAACTAGAAACATCTGCACAAAAAGAAGAACACGAGAGAATTCTACCAGAAATCAGAATCTACAATGTCACATAGATTTTTAAAATCGCTTTAAAGTGTGGTTATACACTAAAAATATCTTTATAATCAAAAAGTCAAACCGTGACACGCCGAGTACAACCGGTCTGTAATATCGGGGCAAGAACAAGTAGTCATACATGATAAGAAAAACCTGGGGCTAGGCATACTATGTTTAAGGGATTCTTAAACTTACAAAACATGACAATAGTTTTAGTAAATTTCTAGACGTAAATAAATGCTATATCTAGCACCAGAGGGCTTATATTTATATGAATACAATGTGACTACAATAATGGGAGAGGGAAAGTGGGCGTGACAGTACTTGCGAAAAACTTCTTTTTTATCAAGGGACTGTGCTTTAATTAAATAGGGCTAACAATAGCATGGTTTAGTTACTGATGTCTAGAGCATGTACACTTGGAAGGTTGTAAGGTGAAAGATATAATATTTTACGACGTCTGTTTAGGAAAGGGGTGACCGCGGGAACAGATGTTCCAGCTGAAATTAGTTCCAGAGGCCATTTTAAATTTAATAAAGGAACTGTTCTATACTGAGAACTCTACAATAGCTACTCTAAAAAATTACGCTGTTGAAAGTTTCCTTTAGTTTTAACAATTTACTATTTGAAAACAACTTGTATTAAATATACTGAGTGTTTAAATTGGTAATTTATTGTCGTTGAGCCTAAGAAAATTTTTCACGCCGCGGTTTTGTTAATTCCCCCTTTCATTATTTATTTTCCTCGTGATTAGGCAACGTTGCAATCTTACCCCTACTTTCCTAAAACTTCACTTAAAGCTTTTCTTAAAGCATCCATTAAAACATCCCTTTTCTATTCTTTCAGTAACAAGAAACGATTTATTTTAAGTAGGGAGAAAACACATTGCCTGCACCCCTCTGATATCTTTTAGAAAGGGTAATAATAAACGAAAAAATTACAAAATATCATCGCATTAGCAAAAAAAAAACGAGGATTAAGTTGGCAGATAAGGGTAAATAATTGTTGCATTATGTTGTATTACATTTTCTTTGAAAGAAAATAAGGGGTGCAATTATGGCAGATACTTACTTGAGATAATAGTTGTTCGTTGAGATTCTTTGTCCCTACTGTTTTAATTATTTATATTATGTAAGTACTCAAAGAAAGCTGCTTCATGGTTTTGTCTGTATTATATTGTGACATAAATTTATGTTCAATTACAGTTTTCAATCTAAGATAGAGCTATACATTCTTGTAATAAAATATAAAAGATGGTTTCTCGGCTTCAAAAAGCAGCGCACTTCAAAAACTGTCACTCCTTAGAAATTCCGTCCTTAGGCGGTGTGCATAAAAGCGTTCTAAATATAAGCGTGATGTTTACGCATCGTACTCGCCTCATTTCTGTGAGCCAACGCCAAAAGTCAGTCGTGTCACGCTTCCAACCCGCACACAAATCAATTAGACCGAACTCGAGCGGCCGAACACATTCATTCTTTTGTTTCAAAAAATTTAGAACGCATTTAGAATATTCGAACACGGAATGAAATTTTAAATATAGGCGTTTGTTTTTAAAAGTAAACCGAAAGCCCGGGGACTTGCTGTTATAGTACTTATACAATTTGTAGGCTGCCATTTGTTATTGTGTTTTATTATTGCAAGATGTTGACAACGAGAGATATTTTCATTTATATTTTTGTTATTTTCGTCTCTACTAAAGGTGAGTTATGTTTTTGCTTAACCTTATTACGCACTTTTAATGATTTTTTTAGCACCAAGCTAAAGCAATATTTTGCATGGTAAAGCATTCCGACTAATACTTTAACTTTTACGCATAACACTTTAACATCTAAGTTATAAACATTCAAGACAATTTAATTGTTTTTACAAAATATTATGTACTGACCTATTTCAATTTCCAAGTGTTATTTAGGGAGAATATTTAGGGAAAGGATTTCGATTCTTAATTAACGTTCAGATACTTGTTAGAATATTTGTGAAATTTCATACGTAGACATGTTTCATCTAATTTGCTGCTAATTTGTTATTAAATTCAGTTCCAATACTGGGTAAAGTTACGTATTAATTATCCAGGTAAATTGTGTATGATAAGTAACGTAGGTTGATTAAACATAAATGGTTTTGATTACTTTGACCTTGCTACAAAAATAAAACAATTTAGTTACAAAATGAAACGACACATTTACGAAAATATAAATTATAACACATTTTTCTTTCTTTCACACACATTCTATATAACATAAAAATTGTTATATCTTAATTTTATATATACTTTTCTCGTATAAAGTGATTATTGAAGACTGACAAGTGATGATTAATGAAAATGGTGACTATAAAATATACATGCTGTAATACGTAATATGCTGTATGCATACACGTTGTAAATAATATTGAGTTCTTAGGTCTTCGCGATTGTTGCCTACACATTGGACATGACTCTACTTTTTCGGATGAAGTCAGCCGTGACCCCCATGGCCCCCTCTAAAAACGGCACGAAACGCGATTTAAGTTCGAAAAAATTGTTTCAATCCCAATGTAAATGCCTTAATTGTTTTGTTGAAAAAATTATGGACACAATTGAAAAATGTATGAAGCCATGTACAATGTAACGTGTAAAACGTGTAAAGTCCCCAACGCGCATTGGGCCAGCATGGCGGACTATGGCTTAAAACCCCGCGTGGGAGGAGACCCGTGCCCAGCAGTGGGAAGTATAAATGGGTTGATGTTGATTGTTGATTGACAGTCAAGAATCAACAACAACAACAGGCGTCAGGAAGAGAGCGTGCCTTACGGCTCCGCCACCAATGAGATTTGGTAGTCTACTTAGAGTCGACGGCTCAGCGGTAGCAACCGTTAGTCGTGCAGAGCGCGACGGGAAGTGAACATGCCTACAGCTCCAGTACCTATCTGGAAATTAGGGAGGGTGCTGTACGTGCACCCGGGGCGGCTCACCTAAGGAACTAGCCTTACAGAGAACCGGATGAAGTCCGTGCAAACGGACTGATCCGGGGTTAGGACCTGACTTAGATGGTCCCTGTGCAGGTTCGCTCGCGCAGGTCTTAGTGCCCTTCCCGTATAACCAAGAGCTTGATAGGGAGGGGAACTATAAACAAAACTTACTGAGACTGTTGATTGACAAATGCGAAAGAAAATTTGAATATACGATTTGAAATTAATGACACGTTAATGTTTTTCTACGTAATCGTGATCTTAAGAGGACATAGTTTGACTATAAAATTGGAACTAATAGAGATTATTCATAGATTATTATTTGATCACGGTTGACATGAAAATGCATTCATTGTCCTGCGACTTCACTATTTCAAAGAAATTATTACAAAATGGGTTATTGGGGTAATATTGGGTTAAAATATTCTACAAAATAATAAATAATTGGAAACTGACTACTCTGTAGAAAACTAGAGAAGTGACGTTTGGAAAATTGTTTCTACACTACACTTTATTAACATTTCTATTGAAATTGTTAAGTCAGTAATAAATTTATAAATATTATTATTTATATTTCCATTTCTGTATTCCAACTGGCAGTTATGCTTCACTTAACTAACTTGCTTATACATATTATTTACAAATAAAATCATTTCGTTTCGCACTGTAAAAGTTAAAATTAGAAAACTGAACAATGAAAAAAAACACGTCATTGTCTTGCTTTATAGAGAATTCCTGTTGGAAAATCAAAGACTCAATAGCGAACCTGTCATACTGTCTATCATATAAAAGGTTGTTCGGTATTTTTGCTCCAGTTTGTTCTCACATGGAGTCGAAAGTAGAACGTACTTGACAGTTTGCTAGTTGCAGAGAATCGTATATCAACATCATTTCCACTGCGTACGTTTCGATATGCACGCACTACTATTAGTGCTTTGCCTTTAAAAATTACTATTTACGACTATTTACAGAATTATTGTAAAATGTAAAATATTGCCATAAGTCTCGTTACAATGATGAATCCCTGGAGTTTCTTATTCTTTCTTCTCAGAGGAAACTATTTTACGGTATTAAGTGCAATGCGTGTACAAGAAAAGAATTCTGAGTTTATTTTTTTTTTTGTTGACTGAATTCATTACAAAGAAGTATTTTTATATTTTTTTTTATGATACCAAGAGAAGAGACAAACAAGTTGTGTGCGACACGCCTGTCCATAGCAGTTGCAGTGTCACTCGTAACTTTAAATCGCTAAGATTTGAGGGACACTGTCGCAACTCCTCCCCCTTCCTTCAAAAACATTTAAAAAAAACTATAGTCTAGTCCACTTAAAACAGTAAAGGCGTCACAATTTAGAAAACGCTTTGTCGGTTTGGCTAATGGACCACTGTTTCTATACAGTTAGAGCGTACTCAGAATTTAAGACATAAAATACTAATATATAGAATTTAAGACATATTATTTGGGCACCTGTAAAGCTTGAATACTGTACTGTTAATAATTATATAATGCAAGCAAAGACGGAACGCAGTAATGCCCATATTACTGCTTGCTGGCAGAAACAGGTAAGGCGGCAGTACTTTCCTGAACGAACGCTTTCACAAAGAGCCCTGCTGCTACAGAAATTATACGTAACGATCTTATAATAATAACGCATAGAAACCTAGTCCGCACACGCTAAGTGAGGCAAATTGAAGCGCGCCCAAAGGGCCTACACGAGCGAGCGGGCCTTCAGTGCTCAAGGTCAACTTACACCGCCAACAGATCAAGAATTTTAGCTAAAAATGACGAAATGTGCGGTAAATGGGTATAAAAATACGTCAGACAAACATAAAATAGATACTAACATCACATTCCACAAGGAAGTAACGCGTTTCAATTTGTATTTTTATATAAATATTCACTAAAACCGAAAATTAACCTACTACTGAAACTAGCCTACATGAATTTGATTTTTGCCTCACTTGTGAGAGTTCGTTTGATATGAAACTATCATTCTATGCGTTATTATTCTAAGGTAACGATATGGAAAATAGTTATTTGTTATGCAAGGCCGCGAGTGCTTGTATTGAAACCTGAGCAAGCGAAGGAAGCTAAGATTGATTCAAATATAGATTCCTGACACGACACTTTTCAAGACACGAGACGCTAAACAACTTTGCTGTCGAGTGAAACACACAACTTTTCACCTCACTATAGCGAGGAAAATGGTAGATGAAAGAAACAGTTGAATATAAAACCTTTTTTAATGAAAAGAAAAAATTTATCTTCGGATGCGTTCTGAATTTACACCTCATCAATTTTTATTCTTGCTTGTAATTTTATTTTGTGTGATTAAGTGATTATTTAAATTATTTTAGTTCTTCGAGGAATTAAAATAATTTAATAAACACAATTAGTTATCATTGTCAATTTAATGTCAACAATAATAAGAATAAAAAATACCAACGGATTTATGTTACATAAATAATTAACGTACGACAAGTCACTTAATTGAACGTGCCGTTATGTTTTTTTTCATCGAAAAAAAAAATGTTAGATGCACCACAAGTCCCTCGTCAAGTTCGAATTTTAAAAAACCTTTTCCACGTTAGCGTGCAAAATACGCTTTTGCGCGCAGATTTCTAATGAGAAAGAAAGCCTTTCCGAGCTAGTGAGGTGAAAAAAATATTTTTCTGTGTGTTATTGAAATATGTTTATTGCACGGGTTATTTATTACTATTTATTTAATTTAGAAGTAAAGTTTACACTTTATATATATTAGTAGAAATATTTGGGTTATACATCTTCTTATGAGTCATGGTCTTTTAAAGTTTTAGTTCTTTTACTCGCAAATATAAATGTTTGATAACCAGTCAATCAATCGCAATCATTTAAATCTTACATCTCTCAAGTTAGTTATTAATCCAATTCAAAAATCAGTAACATTTATATTCCAATACAAAGTTCTTGAAAAGAATTTATGTCATATCTTTATTCTTTTTATTTTGCGCTAGTCTATTTTATCTAAGGGAAACAAAATTATAAAACTTTCCATCCTTGAATGTAAACAATGCACGTTAGGTGCATAAAAACGAATTATTAATACAGCAGTCCTTAAGATTTTCTTTAGCCTGGCACAGTGTTGAAAAATTATTGATACAATAAATGATTATCACTAATAATAATAATAATAATAATAATAGACCAGAATTCTAAAACAAGAACAGAAGTTAGAAAACTGGAAGAACAAAGCACTACACGGCAAATATCCCCATCAAGTGGAACAAGATCACAAATGTCTTTTTCACAAAATTCTCTCCACGATATGATTTCTTTTTAATTTCCTGATATATCGGAACGGTTTATATGCTACGTAACACGTTTGGTACGAGAAACCATCGAGGTCACAAAATGCCAAAACATTTAACCACGAAGATGGGCTTAAATTACCCAGTGCACGGATTCTGGTGCCTAGTAATAGACCTCTTCTTCTAGCGCCCACGGGGCAAACCTCTGGGGCCAGCGTTATCTTAAATGCAAGCTTACTTTTGACGGTATCAATTGTTACCAAATCTATCCTAAGCATTGTAATATACACAGTTTGAAAAATACAATAGTATTGCCAATAATACAATGGCGTTCTACATTTGCGACCTGTATTAAATATAACTAATTCATCGGAAAGATGGTTTCAAATAGCCAATGTTTTCACGAGATAATTTTAAAGCTCGATGTTTTATTTACAATCAAATTTAGCACATTTTGATTACA